TTTTTTCGGATTCACCGTCCTTTCACCGTGGATTCTGGCCTGATTTGATTCTTTGCATCCATGAATCCCCCGACGCCCATGCGGCCACGCTTACGGGAATTTATGCTGCCGAGCTCATGGTCTACGCACACATATGCCCCGGCGTACTTACAGTAGTAAGTAGGCCCCGACGAACTTAGTAAGTAGGCCGCGGCCAACATAGTAAGTTGAGTAGTGGACTTGGTAACTTACCTAGCACAGATATGTATATAGACTAATTCTTATTGTATCTTAGCCAACTTAACATAGCTGACATGTGAGCAACTTCACTAAGTACACCGTAACTACTTCGTCAAAATACTATCTGGATAGCACAAGACCACCAACATAATATGTTGGCCAGGTAAACTTGATGATGTTGACGCAACTTATAACTTAGGTTAGCGTATGTTACGAGCAAGTTAGTATGTTGGTAAAGTACCCCTATCTAGATAGCAACCAGGGTGGTCATCCAAGTGGTGAACCTCCAAGTGCAGATTTCGTGGCTGGCGCAGCACTTAGTGAACCTTGAAATGCAGATTTCGTCAGCATTTGTGAACCTCGAAGTGCAGATTTCGTGGCAGGCGCAGCACTTGGTCAACCTCGAAGTGCAGATTTCGTGGCAGGCACAGCACTTGGTGGACCTGGAAGTGCAGATTTCGTGGCAGGCACAGCGCTTGGTGAACCTCGAAGTGCAGATTTCGTGGCAGCGCGCAGCACTTTGTGAGCCTGGAAGTGCAGATTTCGTGGCAGGCACAGCACTTGTTACGTGGCAGACGCAATACTTTGCGCTCTTAGATGCCCTCACTCTCACTCTCCCACTTTCACTCACACTCGCACTCCCTCACACTCCCCACTCTCACTTTCACTCACACTCGCACTCACAGTCACTCTCCCACTCTCACTCGCACTCACACTTACTCACTCTCACTCACACTCATTCTCATCTCTCCCACTCCCACTCACACTCACGCTCCTCACGCTCACACCCACTCACTCTCCCACTCACAGACTCACTCACGCTCACTCTCACCCGCACTCACTCTCACTCACACTCACTCTCATTCACTCACTCTCACTCTCACACTCACTCACTCTCCCACACCTGTACCTGCACTTTTACAACACTCCAATCTCCACCACTGTTCTTTGCTGTCACGGTTGTTCTCACGATAGACCCCAAAAACCTTTTTCCGCCGCTTTCCAGCTGCTTGTCGCCGCGGCCTTCTGCAGACACGCGCAAAAAGTGTTTTCAAACACCTTCAAACGCGCGAACTTTTCGCCATGCTGTTCCACCATCCCTTTCTCTGTGGATTCTGATACTGAATGAAACCTTATCTAAGTGTGTGTGTGTGTTGCCCCCTGTCTCCTGGGATTCTAATTTTCACCAGAGGTGTGCGGCATGATTGCGGAACCGCGCTCAACAAAGCTACCACAATCTGCCGAGCCTGATCATTTGAAGATTCTAAGTCTTTGATGACTCTACGTAAAACAACGCTGTCTCATTCGGTGATTTGCAGTCAAGTGCCAACGCATTCGGCTAACGCAGTAACCTAAAGTGTTGATGCTCACCGCGAACTCCTGAAGCTCAGCTCCACGGAGCACTGATCTCAGGAGTTCAGTGATGTTCAACGCTGTCTCGCACGTTGTTTTCGCAGTCAAGGGCTAATTTGCACACTGTGAACTCCTGAAAGTCTAAGTAATGTGCAACGCTGTCTCATACGTCGTTATGCCATAAAGGGCTGATGCACTCAGCTAAGTAACATAAAGGGCTAATTAATGCACGCCCGAGATCCAACCTGAATTTCGGAATTCTCGCTCCAGGGAGCACTATTCTCAAGTGTGTTTCTTTTCGGCTCGTACTTTGCATGCCCTCACCTACTTAGTCTTGCCCAAGCACTATCGTTGTTAATTACTCATGTAGAAATCGATTCTCGTACACTTGCCAACCTGTTTGTTGTTCGCCCCAGAAAGGTAAAGCAATCAAAGTTTTCGCAGCGCTTGCGACGCCTCGACATTGTCAAGGTTTCAAAACCCATGTTGGCCAGTACAAAGACGGACTCCGACACGGTCCGGGGGAGGAGCGAAGCTCTCGATAAATTTGTTCAAGAGACGGGTGTCATCGTTTTGCGCATGTTTGCGTCAAGTCACCAGCGGTTTAGGATAGGTTTGACGTTTTGACCCGTTTTTGTCAGATGGTCTTCGCAGACGGTGCAGTCTACAGGCCGCTTTCACTGGCTTTGAACGCAAATTTATATTTTCTACCATTTGACTTGTAGGGGAGACTTCGAGAAAAACGGTCGCCATGGCAAAGGCCTGTACAGGACAGAGACATTTTGACAAAGATGTTGCAAAATGAAGCCAGATGTTGCGAAGTGAAGCCAGCTAAGAGGCGTCAGAACACATGAGGGAAATTGTTCAGTTCTCCTGCCAGGAACAGCGTGGGCAGTTTGATGCTCAGGGATGCGATAATGGCAGGGCTCAGTCGATGCAAAGAAGCTTCTTGCTCAAGGGGTGCTTCAAGATTAGGGCGGGGTTAAGGGAGACGCGCTAAAACCCTAATCTTCACGCAGGTGGCGCCACTCGCAGCATGGCGCCCTCACATTCCCATACTTTGCGAAGGCCTTGTTCCTCAACCTACAGCGAGGCGCCGAATGAACTAGTTCTTTGCAGCGCTGTGTAGTTCAGCCTACAGTCCCGCTGCGCCCCCACTGCGCCAGGATTCGCGCGCGAACTTCAGCCCCGGGGATATCCCATCATCATCTCTTCTAAAAGTAGCCCGACTGGATGTGGAACAGAAAAGCTGCATCAGCCTTGCGCCAGACGAAGAGTGCAAGACGGCCAGGACAATCACTGCTTGGTCGGTAGCAACGCGCGCCAGCTTTGCAGCCGCCAGCATTTTCCACACACATTGCTGAGGTGCGTTGAGGGACACAGGTCCCACCACAGATGAGGGAGCGATCGATCGATTGGCGAAGATCGTCCAACCCTGTTGGAAAATTCAAGCGAGAGTGACCGTGTCCGGAGGTGCCAGGTTCTTGCGTTGACGCTCAAGCCCTCCAGGTCTGAAGCTGGGCGCTTGTTGTGGCGAGCACAGGTCGGTGGCGGGGAGCCCGCGCCCCCAGTGGTATGGAAGAAGAGGGTTCAAGTGTGGATTGAGGCTGTTTTGCGCGGAACTGCCGCACCTTCTCCCCAACTATTGTCGGCAGACCCAGCAGCGGTTCCCGGCCAGAACGCTGCCGCGCGCAAAACGGCGCCGTTGTGACGCGGCATTGGTTTTGTTGGTTTTGGCCTGACGATGTCCGGCGCTCCTCGCGCTGACTTTGACCAGGCTCTTTGTCAGTCAGTGTTTTAAATTTGGCGGGGCTGGCTATATGTCATGACCTCTGCCGGACTGCGTTGATAAGTACCCCGTTCAATTCTGCGTGACCGACCATAGCTTTTGTTCTCGAGTATCTCCCACGCGAGTAGAAAAGTCTTTGTTTTCGCGCGCCTCTTTTTCTCGCGCGCTACCAGATTTGATAGCGGGGCCTACCACTCTCCAGCGTCTCTGCCGTGTATCCGACCGCCCCCACGACTATCGGCGCCAGGGTTTTCGAGTGGCCGCTCGCTTCCAGGATTGCGGAATGGGCAGGCGCATACGCGCGCCATCCATCAGCCTGCGGTCGTGAGTTCATTCGACGCTGCCTACATCTTTAGTCTGTGTGTTCCCGCTTCCTTACAGGCAAGTTTGAGTTGGGCGCCAGTGAGTTGGAGAGCAGTGATTTTGATGCCAACAACTTGGCAGCAAGACAGTATTTTGTTGCGGAGGTTTACACATGCTTGAATGGTTGGACACATGCTTGCGAACGAGGTGCAATCAATGCACAAGCTGCATGATCACTGTGGCTTAAAGATGTATCCTGGAATCCCTCTGCAAGGCATGGATTGCGCGCAACCATGTCACCAATACAAGCCAACAGGCATTTCCCATCTTGCGTGCGCGGGCCTCTCAAGTGGCTTGAATGTTGACACGGGGGCTGTACACCAATGCATTTGGCATTTAGAATCAGAGCGTAATTCTCAGGCATGCGCAATATTGGGCAGTGTTGGTTAACACGTTGAACAGGCCAACAATGTTGCCCGGTTCATTGGTGCGCGCGCAAGACACGTTGAGTTGCGAACAACATCAGGGTTTGCGGCGTTGGGTGTGACAGTGCTGACACCTTCATTCGAAGTTGTTGGGGCGATGTTGAGCGGCTGACAGAAGTGCGTTTCTAGCCTGAAGTTTGGCGCAAGGGCTGGGCCTCCCAGGAATGCTGCACTTGCAGTCGCAGACGTCGGGCGCGACTGACGGTCGACATTGCACTCCGACAATTCAAAACGTTCTTGTCGGTGGGCGGAGAAGATGCTGGGTGATTTTGAACTTTATCTTTGTTTCCGACGACGTTCGCACGCTCCGACATAACGGAAGGTGCTGGGGTGAGTTCGGATGATCGTGAACGCTACTTCGCAGGTCCAAGCACACCAAGTCATTCCTTTGGGCCCTGTTCTGTTCATTACCACATTGCGCATTATTTGAGTTGTTTCATTGTCATGTTCCCAGGGTCCATGAACGCATTGCCAACCTGCAGGCCGGAGTTGGAGCAAGTTCGACCATGGACGGAAGACGTGACGCCCTGCAGTCGCAACGGTCATGGAGCCGGCCAGAAAATCGGCCGCTGCCACACTCAACCTCTGAGGTGCTGGTGGCAAAGGCAGAGTCCACCACAGGGGAAATCTTGGCGAAGAGGTCCAAGTCCAAGGCGATCAGCTTTGACCCCTATTGGAATAGATTCACTCCTATAGTTCGACTTGGTATTACTGGTATACTGCGGAGAGTTGCAGGGGACTGCCTGAGCATCATGCTTGTAACCGGCCAAATCAGTGAGCGTTCCCCCACTTCCTCCAGTGCGCAATCCACCGTTGCATCCTTTGACGCTGAGAACATCGATACCGACTCGATCACGAGCTCAGGTGAATGCAGTTCGGTGGACCTGGCAGGTCAAGATGTCGACGCCATGGCTCAAACCCTGTTTTGGGAGGACCACCATGCTTATCCTGGCTAAAGGCCAGGAAAGAAAGGGAAGAACCCCACGTCAACCTTGGTAGCCGCTAGCCGAGATGACGGATGAAGAGATGTACCAAGTACCATACATTCAATCCTTATCACAGCGTCGCTGGCGTGCGCGGCTCCAGATCTTGGCCACGTGGGCCGCCGCGCTTACGGTCAACCCCAGCGCCATGGCCGGCGGATACTAGTTACGCTCAAAGGCTGGAATGTTACTGTTGCAGACAGATTCGCAAGGGGCGAGGGTCCCACAGAGTTTCCACAACTCAAGGTCTCTTGCCGGCTCTTGGCCGTCTTCGTCCGTACATTGCGCAAGGACAAGAAAATCGGGCCTCGCCGGCTGCTTAAGCGCTGGCTAGTTAAGCCTACGAGGGATTTGGATGCGCTTTGATATACTCATTGCATGGACTTGGTCTGGCGCTCCGCTCATCATTTGCATTGCGCTCATCTTCATTATCTGACACCCAGATCACACAGCGCGCGAACCCTCCAGTGCCAGGAGGCACTATTAGCTGCGGTTAGAGAGGTGAAGGTCTTGGCAAAATGAGGTCTTGGTAGTACTTGGTAGTCACCTGTTTTCGCAAAGCAACTCACAGGGCGGGCTGCGAGAGATGTTGCGCAGCCATAACATGGAACGCGCACGTCTTCGCGAGCCTGTTGCAGAATTGCATTGATTTGCTTGCAAACCTGCGTTGCGACTTTTTCTGTGAGCGCTTCTGCCGCGCCGCGCTTAGTTCCCATTTTCGATGGGCCTTGGAGCAGCGATGAGCCTGGAACTGGCGCGGCCGATGTTCTGTATAGTTCAGGCCACGCCTGGGGGTTGACTCTTCACAAACGAGAGGTGAAAGCAGGTTGAACACAGAACAAGCATCAAGGGCTGCTTGAGAATTCAAACAAAAGCTGCAAATATCAATTGCTAGGCGTGAAGAGTCCAATTGTTTCGCTTTGGCGAAGGTCATCGTTACAAGGGGCACGTGCAGAGCGGCGCTCGCGAGGGAGAGGGAACATTGTGGCGTGACAGCGTGGCACTGAGATCCGCACATCGGTCAAAGTTTGGCAAAGACACCTTTTTTAATTTCAACGGTTTGAGGGATTTCTCGCTCCGCGCGCGCGCGCAGGCTGTTTTTCGCGTTGTGTTTGCGCACGTGATTTAAAGGCGCTTCAAAAACCCCCAACTACTGGGCACGAAAAACCCGCCAACATGACACCATGTGGATCAATATGGCAACACCTCATCAGCATCGGAGCGTGACAGCAGGTTAGCGCGCAAACAAAGACAGTTATTTTCAAGGATTGTGACCAGAACCTGTTCCGGAACGAGAACCTGCTTTGGAACCTGCTCCGGAACTTGGTCCGGAACTTCTTCCGGAACCTGCTTGACCTGCCCCAAAAATTTTACTGTGGCTGAAGGCCACTTGTCAGCATTGCTGTTTGGAAAAATTTGGCGGTTGACGCGCTACCGGCCCAACCCTCTCATTGAAGCCTGCGTGCGTACCCCCAACAGAAACTTACACGCATCTACTTGTAGTTGTCGCCTAACTATGTACAGACCATGCTGAGAACAAACTACCAGGCACGAAGGATTTGGGGTCTCGAGTTTAAGGTGTTCTTTGCTGGCCTTCAGGTTCTTAACCTTGCAGCACTGGCCATCCACCTGTTGGGTGCATGTTGAAGGTTCTCTTGTGTAGACCTTAGGGTATGAGGTAGACATTCTGCCCCCCAGCTTTGATATGGAGACCCGGCGCTGTATAGCACATCTGTAGGTACTGTTTTGTGGTCTAGAATTTGTCAATGGCATTCACCGTTCACCGTGATTCGTGTCTAATAAACCCGTACTTGTCAGTCGTGGCAGAGTGCGTAGATGACATTGTTTTGTGAAAAATTTCGCGATGCAGGCACAACATGAAGGTACCACAAAGATATTTTGTCAATCTATGTTAATCTTACAGGCCTCGTTTTTCAATGTTTTAGGAACATAACATATGAGGCAAGAGTTTTCCCACGGGGTGATTCATTTCCCATGCGGCGGCAAAACTGGAATGCGGAGATGAATGATGCTTTCTGCCAGTGATGATTGAAAAGAACTGAACATTGTAAAAATGAACAGCTAAATAACTAAACGTCAACGTTTGCTTTATGTTTTGGTCTCAGGCCTGGATGGTTCCAACTTGATATACACAGGGCAGTGGAAGGCGCGCTCGCGCGGACTGCCCAAACCGAGGGCAAGTTGAGAACTGACACTCAGGCAGATGAATTCCATGGGGATGGTGAGCTCCACTGTCCTGACGGCCTGTATCGTGGACAGTTTGCGCTGGGTTCTGAGATTGCGTAGGGGCCTGACAAGCATCAAACAAATGTTTGCCAGGTTGCCATGATGCACCACGATGTTTTCTGTTAGTTGCATATGCATGTTTGTTTGCCTGCCATGTTTATCTTAAATCTTAAACTCTCAGGAATGGCGTCAGAGAAGGAGAAGGTCGTTTTGAGTACAGCCGCGTTCTGGCCTCAGTCGGCGCCACTCAACTTTGCGGACAGTCAGCTGCAGCTTCCAGAGGAACCAAAGTGCCAGCGCAGCATTTTGGTGAGGACACTTCGAGCTACTACCAGGGGCAGTGGAAGGAGGACCTTCGCAGATGAAGCTGTCTTTTGGTCACAAGTAATTATGTCGTGTTGGGATTTGTATTCGAAGCAGAAGACGCTGTTCTGTCACGAACGTTCTTAGTGACGAGCTGCTTCAAATCAAAGAGCAGCAGCGGCAGCAGCATGTTCTTCAAAGGATGAAGCAAATGCATAGATCCTTTGTATCTACATGTGTTTCATTGTGTTTCCCTCTTGAGAATTAGTTTATGGTAAATGAACAGTCGAAACCTGCTTTCTTCTTCAGTTGCGAGACCTCTGATCCTTGGCACATCTCCATTGAATCAAGCTCAGACTTCCCAGCTCAGCACGCCCAGCACTGCAGTTCTGCACTCCAGGTTGTTCCGTGACTGAATCACGGGCATCGAAGCATGTTCAACTGCAAACTGTTTTGTGTAGCCATATCTTTCGTCTTCAGATTGGGGGCTTGAAAGAGTTTGTTTAATCATTTTTTGACCAATTTTAGCAGGACCAACCGCATGGCATTGGAACATGCGTTGACCAACACGGAGAATATGCGGACTCTCAGTCGCAGGTTTAGTCGGAGCTCATGTTCCGCATAGCAAGCAGAATGTATGTTGCTGAAACGCCACATGTTCTTCAGTTCTTCGGTGATGTTTCAACATGAGGACCGGGAGTTCGAAGAAGGGGAGCTCAGTAGACGCTACTTTTCGAGGCACCTTGCAGAGTTGACAGCGACGGTTCACGAATGGAGCATTTTTATGTTTCAGGTCGCGGAGTGTTTTCAAAGTGAAGCACACATTGCCGCCCGGCTCAATTAATCTCGAATGGAAACTAAGGAAAAGATCAACGCGGAAGGAGTCTCATCAAACACGTTCCGGATATTTGGATCGAAAGTGTTCAGAGCAAAAAGGTTTGCGTAGCAAAGAATCATGGAAAATTGTGTTTTCTTAATTTTGAACATACCTAGCCTAGCCAACTTGGCTAGTTACTTGGCAAGAATGTGTATGTGCGCGAAGGCCGGCGATGAGTGTAAAGGTGGAGCCAGGACTTTTTCTTTAGTGGAGCTTTTCTAAAACGTGCCCTGCCAGAGTCTTCCACCTCCGACGAAAACACTAAAGCCCAAGAGAAAGCAAGCTGGAAGCGCGAAACAAGTCAGAACTAGAGCGTCGCTGTTTAGTTTTTAGCATGGCGAAAGTGCCGTTGCAATATGTTCGCAAGGACCGCAAGGCCTACCCCGGAGCTCAGTGATTGGTGGACTCTTGGGTGAGGAGACTGGTTTGGCAGAACCGAACTGGCCGTGAGGCAACCCATTTTCCACTGCGTTTGGCAGACATATTTGATCAAAATCTCGTTTCGATTGGTAGAACACCGCATTTTGTTTCAGCACATCTACGAAAATTTACAATTGGAATTAGCCTGCCCACACACACATGTATATAATATTACGAAAGCCAGCCGATAGGTTAGGCTTGAGCTTTTAGGGCGAACGAAGTGAGTTAAGGAGGTGTGGGGGGGGGTGGTCGTTGAGAGGGACATTTTGAGAGGGTGAACCCAGATCTTGGCGGGGAAGAGCGCTCCAAAGCGAGGGTCAGAAAAGCAGTGAAAATGGGGTTTGGTGATGCAAGTGATGCAATGGACGCCGAGTGTACATCATTAGCATCATGAAGGGCTTTGGACCCTGGGCATCAGATATTGATCCTAATCAATATTCTTGAAAAAAATCAACAATTTCTATTGATTTGGGCGCGTGCTTTTTCAATAGAAATTCTTCCTCAAAGCCAAGCAAAAATCAATAGGAAATTCAATAAACAGCAACATGGTCAGCTTGATCAAATTTGATCAAATTTGATCAAAAACCAGCCAAATTTGATCAAAAACCAGCCAAATTTGATCAAATTTGATCAAAAACCAGCCAAATTTGATCAAATTTGATCAAAATTGATCAAATTTGATCAAATTTGCTTTTTCGAAGCTGCCCAGAAATCAATACCGGAATCAATATCAAAATCAATATGATTTTCAATATTTTTGGCAAATCAAAAATATTGATATTTTTTCGGTTTATTGATTAGGATCAATATCCGATGCTCAGGGGAGGCTATTTGGACAAATGGGCATTGAGCAATCGAGTGGAGACAGGGACCCACGTACAGAGCAGACCGCAGCCGCATGTAGGATACGAGTTCCCAGGACAACCCGTAACTCGCAAAATCCATAGAGAACCGAAAGTGACATGAGTTCAAGTCCTTGAATTTGAACTGAGTTTCGGCGGGGGCCTGCGAGGTTGACTACATGCCCCCTAGCAAAAACTATACTTGCACCATGTCCTCGGTCAAGTGGATGCTTCTCGCAGCGTCCACACGCACCGAACGTTTTTCCGGCCTGCCGGTGCAGATAGATAGAGATAGAGACAGAGAGAGATAGATAGATAGATAGATACATAGATAGATAAATTCTATGTACTACTGACTCATGATGTCGCCTTTATGCCAGCAGCCCTGGCCGAATCCAGTCAGCCTGGGTCCACGGCCCAAAGATCTACACACACAGGCGCCGAAGTCAAAGAGTTGATAAGAAAGAGAAGAATAAAGAATGTGTTTGGCTCGTTTAATAAGGCCTCTTTAAATGAAAAAGATTGTGTTTTGGATCGAGCCAGAACATGAATCACTCAAGTCCAGGCATGTGCGTCGACAGGCACAATCCTCACTCCTTTGCTAGCCCAAGCTACTCCCGCTGGACCTCCCTTCTGCGCCGCGGGATCAAACGTCCGTGTCCCGGCTAAGACGTGCCCGTTCACTCTTCCAAACGACGCGCCGTAGTACGCATTGCAAACTTCAAACACTCCAAATGTAACAAGCGCATAATTGCTTCTTTTCAAAACGCACGCCGTACTCGCGCGCGCGCGCACGCGCGCTGAGGCGACCCTGACTGTGGAGAAGGTCTCCCTGCGCGCGCGCGTGATATCCCACCACGCGAACTCAGGCGGTATTTCCCCTTCGCTAATGCTGATGTCGCCTTCCAACTTCCATAAGATGCATACCTTCCTGCGTGATGCCTGCATGTGACAAACACATGCCATTGCCTTGCGATGATGACCTACACCAACATACAACGTATCGCATTTCTCTTTCCGAACTTATCCGAAAGCCGCCCGGCTTGCTTCTCTGCTCCCTCCATCACCACTACATATGCCCCCCGCATCCGCGGCACCGCTGACTCGCAAGCTGCCGACCATGTGTCTTGCGCCCCGACGCCCGCCAGGAAAAAGAGACACTCGTCTGGCAGCTGCTGGTTTTAACCCCCACTTCTCAGGTTTTTCTTTATGCGTATATATAATATATATATATATTGGCTTGACCCTGTAAGTAAAGATAGGGGCCTTGGTTCATTTTGCTTGCAGCTCCGGCTCTAAGCTTCCCAATCATGTGGGGGCACACAGCCGTGTGCTCCTGCCCACTGTGCCCCTCGGCGCGGAGGGCTCACTGTGCCATTGCCGAGGGTCGCTGTGGATTGGCTTTGTGGACTTCGCTGCTGCGTGGGCCCGCAATTTGGCGGGCGATCTTCAAGATTTCATAGAGGTTCGAGTCAAGGCTGAACGGGAGCGGGCGCCCCCTCCTCACCCTGGCCGGACCGATGGACGGGAACGTGATCGTCAAGAAGATCCACGCGGCGAAGAAGAGAGGGCAGAAGAAGTGAAAGGCAAGGGCAATTCAGGCAAGGGCGTGGTGGAGAAAGGAGGAGTTCCACAAGGCCACAGTCGAAGGCCAGTCTATCGAGGAGAGGCGGAGGTGTTAGATCGCTCTACGGGAGGCGAAGGCGAGCTGAGGACACGGAGAACGCCAAGAAGGGGCTCTCTGCCAAGGTTTTGCCACATCCACCTCGAGATCGGCATTCTGGAGAACGTGACGTGACGGAGGAGTTCACATAAAAAGAGAAGAGGAGGAGAACAGGTCGGAAGACGAGAGAGGCCGTGAGGCCGTGAGGAGCCTGGCGTGGGGGAGGTACATAGATCTCCTCGCCAAGGTCGAAAAGAGAAAAGGAAGTCCCGCGAGAAGAAGAAGAAGAAGAAGGAAGAAAGGAAGGAAGAAAGAAAGAAAGAAAGAAGAAAAAAGAAGAAAGAAGAAGGAAGAAAGAAGAAGCGTTCTCATCGAACCCAAACCCCCGAGGATCGTTCAAGCTCCTGTTCAACTTGAACCGCCCGTGGGAGTGGATCAGGCCTCATCTCTCTGGCGCCTTTCGTGGGCGACCTGTGGTAAACGTGGGAAATGGTTCTTCACTGCGTTGGCCGGGTTTGAGGAACCCATTGACGTCAAAAGTGTTGACAACTTGTCGGGGGAGGGCCTCCATGCCAAGGGGTGTCCGGGTTCGGATTGAATGCTGATGGGAGAGGCGCCTTGAAGGATCATCGCAGCAGTCTATTTCCGCATGTTGGGCGCGTCACAGGACTGGTGAGGAGTTGCTTTCCTTGGGCCCACGCGCGCCGTTTGATGGAGAGCGTCGTTTCTCATCGATCCATCACATGCGACAGGCTGTCGTCGGCGGCGTTTCTTCTGGCTGTCATGGGGGTTAGTCAAGGGACTAGGCGCGACTGTCTCCTCAGCTAAGGGGGACGGGTGGAGCCAGGCGGTGAAGGTGAAGCTTAAGCTCACCTAAATAAGCTGAAATCGCATGCCCGTGACATGGAAAACTCTGGCAGGAGCGTCTCCACCGCGATCAACTCTTCTCTTCAACGGCGGCATTCACCCTCTTTTTTCTTCCTGCTTCTGATTGTCCTCAAGGCCTTGAAGTCGGACTGACGATCTTCCTTCTCTACTTCTTTGTTCTTGTCCTCCTCCTGTCCTGTACCTGGGGTTTCAGCTCGAGGTGAAAGGGTTTCGATGGCCTGCTGTGGAGTCCAACCCGACATGAGCTTCATAGCAGAACTGGCAAGGCAGCAAAGTCGTGAACATTTTTTTGGAGGTTTGAGGAATGCACCCTTGAGCTTTTTCTGCTGATTTCCCCCATTGGATTGCGAATTGTCCTTGAGTGTCACGCTTTTTGCCTCTGTGGCAGGAAGGTCTAAAGCAAATTTCTTGCACATCTTGCCCAGGAATGACATGAACTGATCAGCAGAGGGGGAAATGCTCCACTGGCGAATGATCTTATCTGGTGTCCTCAAAGTTGGCAAGCCGCTCTGCTTGGCCTTCTGTGACCATTGTAAAACCGAGAGCGCTGGCTGTGGAGGCACTGCTGCTTCCTCTTCTTTTGGAGTTGGAAATGGAAGGACACATTTCCATTCTTCTGCCATGAACTTCAGCGAGACAATGTCGATGATGTGCTCTTTGCACCACTCTGCCTGTGGCGGCGAGGAAGAGGCCACCCGCATATGATTAAGTACAACAAATATCGCCCAAAAGTTTCTAAACATTCAGATACGATCATAGTTTCAACATCCAGTGCCTCGATCTCACTTTCAGCAAAGCCAAGGTAGTACATGTCCACACCTAACTTCCCACAGAATTTCTCATTCATATAGCCCTTCAAGATGTCAGCTGAACGGACAGCTAGGTCAATCAAGAAGACCGCCTTTGCTGGGACACCAAGAGTTTAGATGCCTCCTGCCCAGTCTGAAAACACCTTCTCACTCCTTGCGCCCGGGTCTCCATGGGGAACAGGACGCGGCCACATTGAATCACCTTCCTGCTTGTTGTTTGAAAGACAGTACTTGTTTCTGAAGGGGATATGGAAATACAGGATATGGACAACATGCGGATATGTTTCTCAACGTACTGCCTTGCGACAAAAAAAGTTGGTACCGAAAAGTTAAAGAATCAGTCCTTGACTCCCGCGTATCGTTCCGTGATGCATACGCCATGACAAATGCCTGGTCACTGCTGACATTGGAATTCGCCAACATCTCACCTCTTCAACCCACACAAGTCCTCTCTTGTTGCTGTGTGCCGGCGCAAGGACAATGCCAAGATTCAAGCTGCCATGGCCTTCGTTCAATAATCCCATTATCGCAGCCTGCTTCCTCTGAGAGTCTGCTTTCAGCAAACTCGGACATCAGTGAATGGCACGGCATGGTTCTTGGCTACACTTTTCCGGACTTTGGTGATCTCATTGAAAAGCACTTCAGCTTTCTCGAGCAAATTCAAACTGAAGCACCAATTCCGGTCACTCAGATCCATCAGAGAATGAGCTGCTTTTCGGCAGGCTTTCTGCTTTTCAAGCTTTTGAGCCACACTTGAGTGATAGACAGCTGTGTCTCGATCTTCGCACTTCCGACGCCACAGCGCATATGCCTTGCAATCGTGCCTGGACAGCTTTTCTCCGAAACTCCTAGTTGAGAAATTGGGGTTCTCGTTGGTTCACCAAAAAGGTAATTGAAAATAGACCTTAATTCTGAATAATAATCAACTCCACGATGCTCAATCTGCTTCTGGATCGGGATCAGCGCCTCCTTCTCCAGCTGTGTGGCAGCAATGTTCCGTGACATCGCTTCTTCAGGAGCGAATGTTTCTGATTGAGCCCTGTGCTTCTTCAGTATTCCTTTGACAGCATCCAGCTCAGAAAATTCCACGAGGAACTCTTCTCTGAGGTGGCTGCCATCAATTCCGTCTCAAAATTCAGTCGCCGTCCAGGAACTTTGAGTGAATGCCAAGGATGCTCTTTGACACCCCACTGTCCTGGACTAGACCTTCCTCAATGGCACAAACCAACTGAGCTTGTTGGAAGTGGTTCTCAACCTCCTTGGTGGAACACCGGCGCCTGCACTCTGGGCTTTTTGTTTCAAATTCCTTGACGAGGGACTTCACTGCCAACGCTATGCCCTCTGGCAAGATGGTGAGTTATTGCTGCCACATCTTGGCGGTTCGTGGCGTTCAACCAAGCTGCAATTTCTTGCTAGCAGAGGTCTCCTCCAAAAAACACACTATTCCATCTGCGAGTGATGTTGGCAGGATCACAATTGGCAACTTTCAATACCTGTAGCTTGCTCATCCAAGTCACTACATCGCGCGCGCGACGAATAGATCCTCTGCTTGAAAGAGAGGCGTTGAGCATGGCAACCGAGATAATATCGTTGCTCATGGATCCCATTTTGCATTGCACAGCGCAGAGGCTGTTCCACAAACCTGGGCGCAAGGCCTGCAAGTTCAAATTCCGGGAGTGACACATGTGGGCCAACGTCAATGCCACGCTGGAACGACCAGCACCTTTGATGTAGGTGGCCCAACCATACTCTGCAGCTGTAGGCCCTGCCGCAGTATAAGTAGGACCCCGGCGCTTCCAAATTGCCAAGCAGTCTCCTGGCCAAGCAAGGTCCGAGAGAACAGTTTGTTAAAGGAAGAGTGAATATTGCGTTCGCACGGTTTCTGAACTATACCCTGCGGTATACAGTGTTACAGGATTTGGAGATACATTATTTATACCGTGTCACAGGTGGATCATGTGTTAATACCATGGTCTAGTAAGCTTTGTTCATCATTGTCGTGCACCACGCCTGCAGTGATGAAAGTGTTCGATAAATACTCATCCAGCAGGGCCAAGGACACAGAAAAGTATGGCGCAGGCTTCGTTGGAGAGCCTGAGATCACTCAAGCGAATGTGGAGTGTAGACTCTGTATCGCCTGGCAATGTGTCCCAAGTGGCATACTCGATGTCAGACCTGCATGGAAAGTGTGCGGCGACATCTTCATAGACCTTGGTCACATCTTCCTTCGTCGGGAGAGATGCCTGCAAGTATTGCCGAGGGCCACCATGCTTCTTCAACAAGGCGTGTCCCAATTTCAGCGCGTTGTCCCGGAAGTTGTCTGGCGAACCTGAGCAGAAACCATCGACTTGCTCATCTGTGAGTTCCTGAGTCTTTTGTTTGCAATGCCTCCTGGGCATCATCTGCATTCATTGTCTCATCCGCAGGCGTGGGTTCATGCTTGACGCCATTGCTGGCGCTTGCCATTCTGAGTTCTCACAAACTTGCGCCTACAAGAAGTCGTCGAAAAGCCAAAACTTGAGCCTATGAGGAGTCACTGCTGAGCAAGCAAGCAAGCAAGCAAGCAAGCAGAACTGGGTGCGCATTCGTTTCGTACATTTGGTTGACTCGCAGGTGTGTCTTCACGCCTTAGCTCGGGGGCGGTCAAGCTGCCGGAAATTCTGACAAACTCTTCTGAAAGCGAACTCTCTCTTGCTGGCATCAGGTTTGCATGGGGTGTGGGCATACGTCCACACCGACCAAAACCTGTCCGACCAGCCAAGTCGGGGCCCGGTTCGCAAGCGATTGCTAAAGTAAGAAAGCAAAGTGTTGTTGACGCTAGAAAAGAGGAAGAATAGAAGAGCTGCTCTGGGGTCAATTCACCAGTTGACAGTTCAGCCCAAAACGCGGATCCGTGCGAGAAGGCAGTCGCGCAATTTCGTGAATTTCTTCAAGATGAAGGGACGCCTTTTCCTAGCATTGCGCCTGCAATGGATGTCGCTCTGAGTCGCTACGTTGGGCACTTGTGGCCGACACAGAAGCGCCAGCCAAATGGCGCAAAATGCTAGTGATACCCTAGAGGGAGTTGGCTTCACATCTCATGATTTTTGGCCTTGCAGCCTCCGTAGGGGAGGGGCAACATACTGGTTCAAGAAGTAGGGACAAATGGACCGTTTTGATCTAAGGCCGGCGGCAGTATGCCCGTACGGCCCGGACTTACGTCAGCGATGGGTTGTCTGCGATAGCTAGCGTGTCTTTACGATGGCAGCAAACAAACAGTTTCACCAAATATTTTTGAATTCATTCCACCAAAGCTTGCCTCCGCTTGAGCCCGCTCATAAGAGCAGGTCAAGGGGAAGTGGAGGACAGTCTTCAAAATCAAAGAGAAAGAGTCCAAAACAGTGAGAGAGAGAGAGATGGAGAAGTGTCTCCGTTTTTCCTTGTCCAGAGTCATGAGGGCGATGCGTTGGGGGGTCCGGAACTGGATTCAATTGAATCACGCGCGTAGCATTCTTTTCTGACAAATTTGGTCTTGCAGAGCTGTCAAAAGGAGCGTAAAGGGCCTGAATCTGTGCGCTTTCGACCCCGTAAGTAAAGATGAGGGACCTGCTTGTAGCTCCGGCTCTAAGCTCCCTTCTTCCCTTTCCCCCCCTCTCCGCTGTCGCCAGCGCATGTGGCATGGGAGAGGACGTCGCTTTTTTCGTTCCCACTGTTCTCCTCGCTTTATCGGCGTGTGGCAGGACAGTCTTCAAAGTTAAAGAGAAAGAGTCGAAAACAGTGAGAGAAAGATGGAGAAGCGCCTCCGTTTTTCCTTGTCCAGACTCATGAGGCCTCATGTTCCTCCAGTTTGGCGGGGTCTCATTTTCGATCCTTGAGCTAACGCGGAACCAGGTTTGGCAGTTATCCGTTGGAGGGATCCAGAACTGGATTCAGTTGAATCACGTGTGTACAGCCTTCTTTTCTGACAAATTTGGTCTTGCAGAGCTGTCAAAGTGAGCATAAAGGGCCTGGATTTGACCCTTTTCAATTGAGGTACCCCATTTCGTGGGTAAGGTCCGTGTTTGTAGAGAGCTGGGAGAGGGCACCCTATCCCAAAACCCTACAGACTGCTCTGAGACCTATGCGAAACGCGCGCGCTTAGATCAGTTGTTCGGCAGTTTATTCATGTGAAATACTCATGGCAATAGTTGCTTGCTCGCTTCTTCATTTGTTCTCACTATCGTTGTTTGGGATTGAATCTTGAAAAGCCTCTCATCACCACGTGCTCAGTTTGAGTGATTGATGTCTGATACACGGACTTGAGTTTCAACGCTCTTCCCTTAGCGGCTCGATAAAGCACCCTTGTGGTGAAGATTGAAGCAACTTTCATTCAAGCCCGGCCTGAGAGTTTAGAAAACGTTGAGCAAGAAGCAAATAACCTACTGAAACAAGGGAAAGTCATTCCGACCTAGCGCGCCTGCCGTGTGCCATTCGGGTGCGAAATTTAGGGCAGGAAGTCCAACCCAGCGCTTTTGTGCGCCACCTGCTCATCTGATTTTGGCACCAGGAGGAACCATTCCAACCTAGCACAGCCACCCGAGGGTGAAGTTTAGAGACTCAGTCTCAGGCATTTGCCCCTGGCCACCATATGACCACAAGTGTAGGGAGTCGGTGAGCGCGCAAGTGGGTCGCTACGTGCACGTGAGGTGATGTTTGCACACACAAGTTTGTTTTGCAACATCACCACTTCACAATAATTAGATCTTCGGGTCGGCTGTCATCCCCGGGTGGGCAAGGGATTTGACTTTTGCCTTCACAGGTGGGCTGGGTGCCACCGTACATGGGCGCATCTTGGCCCACAAGACGCAGCGTTTCATTCACAATCCTTCACACACAAGTAAGGGTCAGCAGACTAACGCCCAACCTCCGAGCGCTGTTGTTTGACCTGTCCTTCTTGGGGTTTCCTCGCTGCCTCTGAGTTTGTGGTCGTTGTAGTCTGGGCCTTTGGTTCTTTTCTTTACAAGTTTTCCCATGCGCACAGTTTTCTGCTGACGCATCAACCAATAAAATCACCCGGTCTCTTTGAACCACCAATGAGGTCCCGAAAACAAACGTCGTTTTTGGTTCAGCTTTGGTTGTCGAACTCGATTTGAAACTGGTCTCTCAATGCGTTCATACAGGCACCAAAGCAATTTTTGATGATGCAAGTGATGCCAATAGCATTCCCGAGGGTTCGGTTAGCTCAAAGAACTATCTCAGTGCGAGTCAGCATGCATCAAAGGAAGGAGAAGCCGATCCAGGAATCGCTACTATGCCAGCTCCTCTTCCCCTAAAACTTGATTTGTACCTGGAGGATGAGATTTGGTTTGCGCTCAGTTTCCTTTACAGTTCGGAATTTTGATGGAACGCGATCAGCTGATATTCCCTTTGTCGGAATCTACTTGAGTGCCAGTTCCGAAGTTGGGATCAGCTTGGCTCTGCCCCAGGCGAAAAGTTGCACAAGTTGAGCGCTCTCAAGTCGTTCTGTGGCCCCGTCGCTATACCCACCCACACCCAGACCCAATTCAAGTAGGGCTAAAATCCGCCCGCACCGAAGGTGCTGAGGCATTTTTATAGGGCACGCATTATACCGCAAGTACCACAAGAAGTACCGCAAGTAGTACTGATAGCTTTAGCTGGGGGGGGGGCATTTTCGCTCTAGAATCCTGTGTTTTTTCACGTTTTTGGAACCGGCTTAAAGTGCTGGAAGATAAATTCGTGCTAATGTTAGCTATCTTGAAGCCTTTAGGGATGCAAGAAATGCAATTTTCTGCTTTGCATCATCTGAATCATCTGAGCGGTACAGTGTAATTGGACTGAGACCGGACATTTGGCTGAACAGGTTCCCCTAACGGAGCTCAACATAGCTTCCATATTGCGTAACATAGCCCTAGAAGTCACTATCTAACGGACGTGTCTGCGAGATAGGGACTTGAACGTCCGGGTACGTGGCTGGTCAGGAGCAGAGATAAGCAGATCAGGTCCAGGAACGGTAACATTATCTCACGAGCATAGCTCCCATATGGTCGAACATAACCCCAGAAGTCACTATCTCAAGTATGCTTCCCCGAGATAGGTACTTGAACGTCGTAAACATGGCCCAACGAAGGCTCCAAAGGAACTGGAATAGAGTGAAGATATTGCCTAACAGAGCCCTAGAAGTCACTATCTAAAGGACGTGTTTGCGAGATAGGGACTTGAACGTCGTAAACTGGAATAAAACCCCCCCCCTAACGTGGCCAAACATAGCTTCCATATTGCCTGGCATAGCTTTAGAAGTGATATTGTCCCCTTCCATGCGGTGCGGGCGGTTACCGTCGCGAAGCGACGTGAATATTGCTAGCCGAGCAGTGCAATCAATGTGATCGGATCAGAGTTCCAGATACAAAAGCAATGGTGAAAGTTGCGAGCAGAGTGTGGCTTTAAAGAGTTGTAACCAGCCCACTTCAAAGTGTCAGCGGTCCAGAGTTCTAAGGCTTTAGGATTTCATGCAAAGTTACGATCAGGGCCTGCTTCCAAGAGAATGAGAAACCCTGTAGCTTCCACCTACCTGCAAAACTAAGACCAACGAATAGCAAAGCTATGAAAACCGGCACCTTTTAAGGCTAAGATAATGTTGCATCGTCGCATGCTTCTTCAACATGCTAAGACAAGCAAGCAGCAAGGACAACGCATTGGGCAAATTGTTTTCCAATTTGCTAAGTGGCAAAGGGTTGATGCCAATTTTGTTGGCAAGTTCCTGACTGCCCCACCGCGCCACGTCAAGGGAAGGTCTGATGTTTGGAAGAGGGAGTTTCCAATAATCAAACCACACTTACACTTGTTCAATTATATACCAACAGTCACAACCACTGCCAGTGCCTGCTGAACTTAGCAGAATGGCAAACCGCCTCAGTTTTCTTCCGACATCATCAGATGTTGAGTGTGTTTGGGGTTCAGAACCACAACTTTGAAGGAGCCACAAACACAGTTGATTGATAATGGCGGCAATACACGGCGTTCGGGGCACCGCCCGAGCGTGCCTTGGCCAAGTTTTGCATTTTTTCTAAATTGTGCTGTTTCAGCAAACAGTAAAAAAACGTGCTTCTTAGTTGGCGGATGTTGGCGGACAGGGGGGCGCATTCTCAGTTCCCAACAGGAGAGATTTGCAGAAATACAACGCGTGGCAGAATGTTGTGTTTAAGTCTTCAGAATCAGACTCTGGCTCTATCAGTTTGCTGCTGTGGTTGCTAAGTCCATGGGTTTGCGTTGGGCTTAGCTTGACATCACGCTGCGCGGCAAGTTCAAGAAGTTCGCGACTTTCATTGAGCGAAAGGATCGGCATTCAAACGTGTACATAGAGCCTATTTGGGCCGCCTAAAGTCGGCGTGCCTTGTGCTTGAGCGAAAACAATCAAGAAAGCATTCGTTCGGGATTGGTTGGAGGTTTTGTTCCAGCGATCATAACTTAAACAAACCAAGTTTTGCCATGTCTTTGTCGACCTGCTTCTTCTCTTGGTGCATCACATGTCTTGCAATTGACCCAAAGATACCCAAAGTGTTTCCTCCATCAGGGTGCATGTGCTCTGGTAACATTGTCCCGGTATGAGTTTGTTTTTGCATCGTTATTATTATTGCCATTGCGAACTCGTACAGTGTTGATGAAAAATAGGCACAAGCATACAATTGTCGCCAGTGCCTAAACACACGCCCGACAACCTTGTCAATTGAGTCTAATCTATCAGTCCGCACTTCTCCAAATCCATTCTCCCAACGTCATCACACATTTTGTTTGGCAGCCAGCCCTTCCTTCCTCAGCCCATTACGAACCCAGCCTTCCCCAACACCGTTTTCCAAACAAGCGTGTCATTTTGTTGGGGGGTGCAAGGTTAGGGGTTATTTTTGGGATGAAGAAGGGCTGGGTCCAATAACTTTGTTGAAAAGACTTGGGACACAGGGTTCAAAAGCTTTGTTGCAAGACTGGGGGTGAAAGGTTCAATGTCCAGAGACAATTTGTCAAATCAAAGTTTGTGATGTTACATCGGTTCGCGCATCGTGTTTGCAACAAACTTAAAGTCTTATAGATGAACTTCCAATGAAGTTGGGGGAGCGCACTGCAAAGGCCTTCTGCGAGGAAAGGAGGTGAAGTTGCAAGAACAGACTTAGGGGGAGACAGGCTGAAGTTTTGAAAACGGACTGAGGGACAGACGGACTGCGACTGCGAAGATAGTAAGTGAAGTTGTAAGAACGGGAAAGGTGAGCTGTGAAGAATGGTGGAAGTTGGAAGAACAGACTTGGGGAAAGGCAGAATGTAAAGATAAGAGGTAACATCGGAAGAGCGGACTATCCCAGCTTTGCAATCCCTTTGAGTACCTCCCTGCATGGCTGAAAGCTCATTTTCTTCCATCATCCATCTCTTTGGTCAGGGTACTTCATTTGAGGCACCTGGCGGTTTGGTAGTTCACATGGAACTGCTGGAGGGCAGGCCAATGATTACATTATTGCTGCTTTGTTTCTCTTGTTTGTCCAGAACAAATTATCAAGAAAGGCTTCCCACTAAGGCATCCATAAAATGCTGAAAAAGCAGCGGCAAAAGCAACATCACTAGCACCAGTACTAGCACCATGGCGGCTTGGCAGTGGACATGAAGCATGAACCCGCCAAATCTCGGATCATGCTTCACTCGAATCCTCCTGTGCACAGGAAGTGATTAAAATGCGTCGAACAGGACATGCGTCATTGAGTCGGAACTTTCTCGTGCGCCCAATTCAACCATCTGAAAGAAGGTGGAGCCCACCCGGCATTTACCATGAAGATCTACATCACAAGGTAGTTGAACCCTCCAGTCGCCCGCTGTCCTACAAGAGTGTGAGTGTCTTACAAGAGTGTCCTATAAGAGTGTCCTACAAGAGTGTCCTACAAGAGTGTCCCACAAGAGTGTCCTTTAAGAGTGACCCACAAGAGTGTCCTACAAGAGTGTCTCCAAGAGTGTCCCACAAAAGTGTCCGACAAGAGTGTCCCATAAGAGTGACCCACAAGAGTGTCCTATAAGAGTGTCACACAAGAGTGTCCTACAAGAGTGTCCCGTAAGAGTGTCCCACAAGAGTGTGCTAAAGAGTGTTCCACAAGAGCTTCCTACAAGAGTGACCCACAAGAGTGTCCTACAAGAGTGTCCCACAAGAGTCTCCCACAAGAGTGTCCTATGAGAGTGTCCCACAGGAGTGTCCTATAAGAGTGTCCCACAAGAGTGTCCTACAAGAGTGTCCTACAAGAGTGTCCCACAAGAGTGTCCCACAAGAGTGTCCTGTAAGAGTGACCCACAAGAGTGTCCTACAAGAGCGTCTCACAAGAGTGTCCCACAAGAGTGTCCGATACCCACAAGAGTGTCCCACAAGAGTGTCCTACAAGAGTGTCCCACAAGAGTGGTCCCACAGGAGTGTCCGATAATGGTGTCCCAAGGGAGTGTCCTACAAGAGTGTCCCACAAGAGTTTCCCACAAGAGTGTCCCACAAGAGTGTCCCAGAAGAGTGTCCTATAAGAGTGTCCCACAAGAGTTTCCTACACAAGTGACCCACAAGAGTGTCCTACAAGAGTGTCCCACAAGAGTGTCCCACAAGAGTGCCCTATAAGACTGCCCCACAAGAGTGTCCTACAAGAGTGTCCCACAAGAGTTTCCTACAAGAGTGTCCCACAAGAGTGTCCCACAAGAGTGCCTTACAAGAGTGTGCTACAAGAGTGTCCCACAAGAGTGACCCACAAGAGTGTCCTGTAAGAGGGACCCACAAGAGAGGCCTACAAGAGTGTCCGACAAGAGTGTCCCATAAGAGTGTCCTATAAGACTGTCCCACAAGAGTGTCCTACAAGAGTGTCCCGTAAGAGTGTCCCACAAGCGTGTCCTATAAGAGTGTTCCACAAGAGTGTCCTACAAGAGTGTCCCACAAGACTTTCCTACTTGAGTGTCCCACAAGTGTGAAGTCCCGCCCAAAACATTTTATTTTGGATGATGGTTATCTCCAGCTCAGCTTCTGTGACAGCCTGTCATGTGCTTGTCGAACACCACCAGGTTGCACAATGATACACGAAATACCTGTAAACTGTTCAGACACATGGGAAGCATGCGGAAAAGAGTGCCGGCGGCAATGGTATTCCTGTTTGCATATCAGGTGAGCAAGCATCTTGCAAACTTCAGTGTGCAGAGGGCACCAAACGCACCTGTATCTTTAGCGCTCGCCAGTTTTTTCCGACGACGTGGCAGCAGCAGGAGATGTTATGCGATACCCAGCAGTCCAAGCTGCATACGCCGGGTTTGGTACTCTTCAAAAATTCACAGATTTGCTCAACTCGTTCAACACTGCTGGCAATGCTTGGCGAAACTGGACAGCTTCAGTGAGAAGTGCGACTTTTTACAAGATTGGTGACAATATTCCCAAGCACACATCAAGCCTCATTCAGAGTATGGAGGCAAACATTCGAGGTGGCAGCAACTTCCTAATATCAGATGCCCAAAAAGCTGAATTGCCAAGTGAACCAGTGAGATCCACCTACCTTGAACAGCTCATGGTCGCGGTGTTGTGCGACAAAAGTCCAGGCATGTCAGCTGTCTATGCTGAGGCTGGCACTAGAGCTGTCGCTCTCTTTGCGAAGGTTTGTAGTCCAGCACTGAAAAGCATGAGAAGTTGGGTGACCTCCGGAATCTTCCTTTGAAGACTCGCAGCTCGGTAGCTGTAGCTGATTTTTTTGTCAGTGAGGTAATTACAGGAACGACTGTAGATGGGGCAGGCGGGTTGTAAATCCGTGAGAGTTGTAGATGAGAGATTGGCATGCCCTATCAGGGCCCTATCATGCTCTCACTTGTCAGCCTTTCTGGTTGTTTTCAGCCATTTATTCAACATGAGTTTGAGGTGATTGACTGCGCGAGTTCATTCTCAATCCGAATTTGTTTGATGAGAAGTTGAAGGAAATCTTGGAGCTTGTTCAGGAGGATGACAGCAATCCATCTTTGCCACAAGCTGCTCGCACTGCCAGAGGCCTCTTTGCGTGTGATATCTTGCGTTCTGCGCTGCACAAGAGACACAGGGTCGAGTTTGGAGTGGACAACGTGACTTGGCGCTGTGAAATGGCCATACCTTTCCGCTTCAAAGATGCTCCGAGCGAGAGGACCGAGTGAAAATAGAGAATTTAGTTTGTAGAAGCTTCTTGTTACTAGTAGTAAGAATGCTCCTAGTAGCGATGCCAGGAGCCCCTAGTAGCGTCCTTGCTCCTAGTAGTAAGGCCAGGAGCCCATAGTAGCTTCTTGTTACTAGTATATATGCATTTTACTCTGTTTTATGTGTTCACAAATTTGTAAGGTAGTACAATCCCCGAGTATTTACATTACAATCCTCGAGCGACAGGACCGAGTTTGGTCACCCTGATTTGGCCATCACTTTGACGCTGCGCACCTATGCTGAAGATGGTTTGACTCGTGAGTCATTTCGCCGCGTCCTGCAATGGGCTGCAGCCATTGAAGATGACTTGCAGACTGGGGCTGTTCACAAAGCCGTCGCCAAAAGGTTGAAAATTGCAAGGGCTGCAGAGGGCTTTACCTTGGATGATGAGATGATTGATCTGCTTTGGCCAAAGCTGTGCCAGAATTTGCAGGTTGTCGAGACTTTCCTGGAGGAGTTTGTTTTTCCCAATGAAACTCGACAATTTCCGTTCAAGGCCCATTGCTGCATGAAGGGCCCACGTTGAAATAATTTCATGTGTTCCTTTGCAATCCAGTGATTCATGCTTCTGTAAGACTAGCAGTCACAACTAGTTGAACTCTGCTTCTTAAGCACTTGGGCTCCCATGACAGGTATCATCAAGTGCATGGGATTTGGCTGCTGGGCGTTTGAGAGGATTTCAGGCACAGCGGACAATCGGCAGCTTTTGCCTCTGGGGGTGCAGCAGTATGAGGACGACATGGTGAAGCACACTGATGGCCGTGCTTTGCGAAGTCTTTGTGATCCTGAGATGGGCGGACCGTCCCCTGTGAAAATGATTGAGCACAAGGAACCCTTGCAGATTTTGGAGGAGCTTCTCATCGCTCAATCTGAAGTCCATGTGACATGTGTCTGTGCTGATTGATTGCGGTGCTTTGCTCACTGGGATGTCGAATCGGCAAGTTGCAGAGGCTGTGCTGAAGCTGAGTCCTCATAGATTTCGGGCAGCCATTTATTTCGATGATGAGAACCAGATCGTGGTACTGGACAGCGATGGAAAAGACACTCCTTTGGCCAAGAGCCCGCTTCAACCTGCCCATGAGTGCTTCACATATTTGGATGACAAGCACACGCGTGGAACGGATCTACGCTTTGCCCCAGCTGCAGTTGGAGCAGTCACTGTGTGCAAGAAGACCACCAAAGACAGGCTAGTCCAAGCCTGCACGCGCATGTGTTTTCTGGGCCTGGGTCAAAAGGTTAAGCTTTTTGTGGACAGTGAAGCTGGAAGGCAACTTGCAGCAGAAAGTGGACAGCATGGAGTGGAGCCAAGTGTGGGTTTAGTTCTTGCTTTTGTCACAGCTCGGACAGCAGAGGAGTTGAGGTTTGCTATTGTTCATTGGGCATTGCAGGGTTCAGCCTTTGCAACACGAGTGCCCTTCTTTGAACATGTCAAGGGGGGCTTCGGGCCCGAATGCAGGCGTTTAGCAAGAAACACAGCGCTGGAGAGAACGTGCACACAAGAGAATCAGGAATCAGTTGGCATACTGGCGTGATCACAAACTCCTGTGTTCTGAGGACGTTCTTGTTACTTCTATGGATGAGGAACAGGAACGAGAGAGGGAACAGGAGAAAGAACGAGAGAAGGAAGTCGAAATAGAAACCGAAGCTGAAGTGTGTCCTCCTCCAGTCCAAGCCCACACACCGCTTGTTGAGAAGCAATGGGAATGGGGCCATGCTTTACAAAAGGTTTTGTATTTGATTGCCTCAATGAATGCGATAGATGTCCCCGTTTGCATGCAATGACTGCAGATAAGCTGGAAAGCTGCGGGATGTATTTGCCACAGATGCTCGATTTCAGAGACATGCCAAGTCATTTGTTCATCACCAGCAATTGGCTTTGCAGTGTCCAAATTACAGATGACCATTGCAGCCCACTGGAAAGAGCACATGCGTTGCGCGCTGTGGATACTTTCCTTTTGTCTCCGGCCAATGACCAAGTGACATCGATCATCTTGCTATCAGGCTGGGAAGCCAGCAATGTGTTGGTAGAGATGAGGTGTCTGAGCAAACATGCCCCTCAGCGGGCAACGCAGGCAGAAGAGTTCTTTGCCCAGCTGTGCCACTTGAGTGATACTGGCAAAAGTATGTTTGCTTGTCGTGCGGGCTATCCGAAGCTTCCACGCGCAGAGCATTGAGCTCTGCGGAAGCTTTTCAATGGCTCCTGCGATTACTCACTCAGTGAATGTGCAGAAGTTGCGAAATTTCTTGGTCTTTTGCAACCACGGAGCGCCTACAACTTTGCCAGCCATCAGCGGAATGAGCAACAAAGCCAGCGTTTGTGGGAAGCATTGAGAGACCAGAAAGTTTTGAGCAGGAACAGTTTTGTGAAAGAGGTCCCAGACGCCCAGACGTCAATGCCAAACTGAGAGAGGCTGTGGAAACCGCCTTGGAGCAAAGAGATGCAAATTATGCTTTAAAGATGGTTTGGCTTCACAACCTGCTGACTCAGATTTCAACAGGGCGCAAAAATCCTGCAGAAATTGTGCCAGAATTCGTGAGACTCCGGTTACAAGGTCACTTTATCCAAGGATCCAGCCTTGAGGAGCTCTTAGACCTTTGAATCTGATGTAGGAACAAACCTATATTGAAAAAGTATTTCCTAATAATACAAGGTTTGAGTATTTCTAATTCTATATAGATATTTAATTAGTCAATTATTGTTACATAAAACGAAGCGCCCCTCCCGTGAACTATTCACGAAAGGTAGCCCTCAGGGGGATACCTTGAGTTTGTCTTGCGAAGCAAGTGTAAGCTCCTCCAGGTGTAATAATTGATAGTTCAATTCAACCCCCCTTGGAATTGATTTTTCAATACAGACCCGCCCTGCAATGGGGGCTTGTACAGCGTCTCACTTCCATACCATGGTTAGTGATAGTCAAAGATTTTGTTCAAAGACTTGGGATGAAGGGTTCAAAGAGTTTGGGAAGGAGAAGGGTTCAATATTTTGTTCAAAGACTTGGGATGAAGGGTTCAAAGAGTTTGGGAAGGAGAACGGGTCAAAGATTTTGGTCAAAGACTCAGGGATGAAGGGTTCAAATCGTTTGGGAAGAAGAACGGGTCAATATTTTGTTCAAAGACTTGGGATGAATGAAGGCTTCAAAGAGTTTGGGAAGGAGAACGGGTCAAATATCTTGTTCAAAGACTTGGGATGAAGGGTTCAAAGAGTTTGGGAAGGAGAACAAGACATAGGATGAAGGGTTCAAGTCAGTTTGGGAAGGAGAACAAGACTTCGGATGAAGGGTTTAAAGAATGTGGGAAGGAGAACGGGTCAAAGATTTTGTTCAAAGACTTGGGATGAAGGGTTCAAAGAGTTTGGGAAGGAGAAGGGGTCCAACAAAGATTGTGTTCAAAGACTTGGGATAAAGGGTTCAAAGAGTTTGGGAAGGAGAACGGGTCAAAGATTTTGTTAAAATTATTGGCATGA